CTATTAGCCTTCGTTATTAGAGTTTCACAAAACTCCATTCTTCGAAAGTAATCGTCTGGATAAAGCTACTGCGTTTTCGAATATTTAAAATTCTTGTAACCGTGCTTTTTCCATACTTTCGTTACAGTAACATTGCTAACATCTAACTCTCTAGCAACGCTTCTACTTGAACGTGTTGAATCTACCTCGATTGTTGCACAAATTTGTGTATCCCGGTATTCTCTTTCCTCAACTTTTTCTGGTAACACTTCTCGAGCGTGACATTTTCTGCAATTTTTGAGGCAATAACAACTCTCAAAATTTTTAACAATATTATAAATTGACTGTACACAAGGAATTGGTCTTCCCTCAAAAAACACAGAAAATAAATCTACACACTGTTGCGCAGAATTGCCACTATAAAACCATTTTATTATTTGAGCTTTTTCCGCGGCCATATAAACAGACATGTTTACAAAAATAAATTAAAACTCTACGCCGTTATACCTTTAAACAACCACGGTATAATGACAATATGACAAATTTGCCGACCGGCGACGTGCAACGACGAGTCAACGAAGCAGATATGTAGTGCAAGTCGAAGACGCGCAGTGTTGCCCTTTATAGAGTGTATACCTAATCCAAAATTTAACGCACTGTATTAATAAGTACGGTGTTCTTCGTTTTCTTACCTAGCTAATACACTAGCGTTACTACTGCTCGCACTAGCTTGGGAAGGAGATCCGTATGCTATGGGAGATGGAGTAGGTTCGTAAGTTGAGTAAACATTTTGCACACTACTGGGTCTAGTTGCTTGTTGGGGGTCAGCAAGCAGTCTTGGGTATCGGGAATCATCTGGACTCGTTGTGGTTGACATGGGCAGGTACTCATTTTGGATATGGGTAGTGGGAAGCATGTGGGAGTAAATAGGATCGCGCCTTTGCAAACTATAATCTAGTCCAGGTTGTTGGTAGCTAACTTGCTCTGGAGCCTCGGTTGGGGCCTCGTTGGGTGTGTGCACAGATTTTGCTGTCGTGTTTGTACACACGATGTATTCCACGTCGTCGGTGTACGGATTCAGAAAAGCGAAGGCGCTAGTTCGAAGCCACACCCATTCCCTATTCTTGGCTCGAAATCTGTACATTACTGACAATACTTGTCCCTTTAACTTTAGCACTAAAATAAACAAAAAATGATATTATTTACCTACATATTAAACAAAACAGTAAACATACAGAAAGATAACGGCTGTACTGCCTGTCAAGAATAGAAGTCGTAACTGATAAAATCTCTATTTTGATATATTCGATGTTTTAGATTTGATTAATTGCCATCAACTGTAATGACTCATTAAAAATCTTGTTACAGAATAGCAATATATTTTTTGAGTACAAATTTAATGAGTGCATGTAATTTTCTTTCAGCAGATAGGACTTTCATTCTTAACATATAGGTAGATTATTTGGCTATCAATGTGTTGCTGTTATAACCTAAAAAAAACTCAAAATTGCAGATACGACTTCTATTCTTAACAGGGCGGTGCAATACTTTTAAAATGAAAAATATATTACCTTGTTCAAAGCTATCCTTCATATGAGTTTGATCTTCTGGATGGAAAAAGTCGAAACAGCTTTTACCCAAAAGTTCAGTAGTAGAATATCCTAACAATCCCATAACTCGCTGGTCCAGGAAAGTAAACTTCCCATCCATGGAATGCCTTGACACGAACTCCGCGTTGCTATTTGATCCAGACATGTCGCTTGTGTTGGGCGTTGATGTTACTTGCAGCCTTCCAATGGCTACCAGGCAACAGTGAGATGCATGAATTTCGTCCTCGGACTGACGGTCTAGTTGGACACCTGGGAACATATCTGATAATTTTTCCAAGTTAGTTTTCCTTATAATTAAAACCAGAACAGTTTCGTATGAAAATCTTAAGGTTTTTCATTTAAAAACATGTCTGTTATTGCCCAAGAAGAAACATACGAATTCTAAAACTATATACGAAAAAAATTTACAAAAAATAATCACTTTGTGATAATAAAGATATTATTTCGTTTTTACTACGTTTCTTTGTGCAATATGTGGAACAATCAATGTTATTGCTTTATCAATATGACTAATTGTTTGATAGCTGTACTTAATATTCTAACAGTTCATGAATTACATTGATATTTACTAACAAAAACTTTCTCATAGTTAGTTAAAAAATAGACAATGACCAGGGTCATACTTACAATGAAAATAAAACTATTTTTGAACTTATAAGTTGATTTAAAGTACACAATTATTATTGAGAAACTTAGGACTTTCACAGGTGTGTCATATATCATTTACTTATCTACAAAGTATGCATTGGATTTGACAGTGATTGGCAACTGACAGATGACGCAAACTGCATTAACTTGTACAGTGATGCCTTACCTCAAAGTTAGCTGCAGATAAACCTAACATTCTGCTCCATATCACGAGTCAGTTTAAACACGATAAATTAGTAAACATTTCTAAATCATTCTAATGAAAACATAATAAGAGTAATAATTTCAATGCATATCCGAAATATGTTATTTTCTTCTTCTTTGATCCGTTGAAAATGTAAAAATGAGAATGTTTTCAACCTACATATAATCTTGATTTCGTCTTTGTAATGTTTATTTTCAAACCCACAGCTTCGTCGATATTATTTACCATTTTTCCCAGTATTATCAGCTTTCTGGTGATGGTAATAAATATATTTCTAATTTTAAATGCCTTTTTAGAAACTATTAAAATATTAAAACATCTACAATAATCTTATCAGTAAAACTGTATCTTATTAAGGATAAAATAAGAAATTATTGTAGAGAATTCGTTTACGGACAGCCAACCTTCTCCGTCATGCCACACAAAATAATAACCATCTTTGTTTTTGAGATCAAATCTGGTAAAATTGTGGACTATCAATTTAGTCTTAGCGCTGAAGCTTTTAAATTCGGAGCAAGAAGTACACTCTGTACATCCATGGTATATACAAATTTACCCTGCTCCTTGTCTCTGGACTTTTCCGCCCTAGCATTTTCTTTATTTTCTATGTGTCTTTTGTAAGCATCCTCTGACACATTTTTAACACTAAATTCCACATAGAGGTCACACTGGTTCATCTTCTCGAATTCCTCCATAAATATTTTAACTGAAAGTGACTTTTCATTGCACTTCTTTTCATATACTCGGAATACTTCCATCTTTGATCTCCATACGGGTTCTAGGTATATTTTCGTAGTAGATGATCTACAATAATGCGACTCAAGCTTTGGCAGACTTATTAGAAAAGAACGCAAAATATTCCTAGGAGAATCATCCTTTGTTTCCTCACTGTGTGTTGCGTGAGTATACTCGGTATTTATATTTGGATCATTTTCTTTAACCCATTCAGACACAGTCCATTGTCCAACGCATAAAGTATGTAGAAACATTGTTTTTGCAAACCCTATGTAATTCATCATCTGAATTTTCCAGATGAAAATATAGTGATCGGTCTCTTCTAGAGACTTCGTTGATTTGATATTTTTTATTTTGGGCTGCACCAACTCGGACTAACATTTGTACCATGGTTTTTTTCTCTCCCCATGTCCTTTTCCAAAATTCGGAAATATTCTCTTTGCTGTTCGCTGAACAACCTACATTTTAACAATACAGTTTTGTTTACTCAGTTTGCAATTACATGACGGTTTCATACTTCTTTCTGGTTTTTCAACATCAAAAACTCATTTTTTGCCGTCCATCTTTCTTCTACCGAGATATTTTTTCACCGTATTCCTTTTTCGTTTATTTTGAGATTTGACCCATTGTGAAATACCAGCTTTTCTGTTTCTTTTTCTATTTTGAGAAACAGTGGGAGGAACAGTTATGTTTAAATTATTGTTATCTTCAAGTTATTTTCTTCTGAGTTGGTAACATTATTCTGGTAGGAGACTGAATCACTTGAAGAATTTTAAACTGAATCGAAATTAGGAGAATAGAGAGACTCTTCTTCATTATCAAGTTCAAAACTCTTCTGTGAGGGTAGTCAGATATGGCGATAGGTTGGACAGTGAAGGGTGGCTGTTCCAAAACTGATCATGCTGCAAAAATGATAGCTACAGAAACGGTACATATACAGCGTTGCAGAAGGCAATGGAAAACCACTGCACTATTTTCCCAAGAGAATTTCTTCCCATAACGATGAACATCTCGCTTCCGGCTCGGATGGTGTAAAACATGCTACCGGCTGCCAAGATGTGAGGGACCAGAGACATGGCAGAATTTTTTCACTCAATTTAAGAAAATGTCAGCGAATTGGTACATGAAATGTCCAGAGACTCATCCAAATTCCTGGAAAGTTACACATAATTGAAAAAGAAATGGCAGACCACAATTTTTTGGTACTGGGACTCTCAGAAACATACTGGAAAGGTAAAGGGCATTTTAAAACAACTGCTGACAAAATCGTCTGTTTTTTAGGCCCACATAACACAAGTACAAATGGAGTCGCAATAATTGTACCCTCTAAACTGACGGCTGCGTAATTGGATATAATACTGTTGATGACAGGATAATATCCATTAAAATGAGAATATCCACCAATACCCTACACCTTGTCCAGATATACGCTCCTACAACAGCTGTATGAGAAAAAGACATTAACAGGTTCTATGGTCGTCTAAAAAAAACTATTACTGCTATTCCGAAATTACTACCACGCCACATGTACTATACTATTGCGTATTGCAAGAGACTCCATTTCTCATATATAGATTGTCAGTCCACATTAGTTACTGCGAAATTCCGATATATCAAGCTTAAACAAACTGACACCACCTGCTCAGATTCATTTTTGAACTTAAAGGTGTCCACCTACTTGGTTTCCATTCTACTTTTTTTTTAGGGAATTCTTTATTAAGTTAATTCAGATTTTTCTAGAAGTAATTATATAAAAAAAGCACCTAAATGAACTTAATGCAAGAACTGTAACTCAAAATTTAAATGACTCATTTATTGAAAAATTAGTTAGCTTTTAAGTAGTATTTTTTGGGTTTACCTGTAGGCGGCCAATTTTTAATATATCCTGTACAATGTACAACAGCATAGTTTTGACCATCACGGCCTGGACCTAAACTATTTCGTTGCTTAAGGCGATTTAAATGACCTACATTCATGCTCTCTGGAGGCAGGTTCCCGACTTTCATTCTACAAATAAATCCTCTTCTGGATCCCATGCACAACCTCATCGAAGCTGAAAAAAGTGTATATTATGTAATTACGGTTCCTGCACGCGAAGAAAAAGAAATATAAAAGTTATAAAGCAAAAGTACTTACAGTGATTTCCTTCTTTCTTAACTGTACCGCTTTTCAAATCTAGTATTCTTCCGGTGTTCTGAGGCTCTTGCGTTGACAGCTGTTCTCGAACCTTTTCTACATCTTCTGGATGAATGTTGTCGTACAAACAAGATCCGTACCAGTCACTTTGTGAGTAGTTTAGTACCGGTGCCACGGAATCCGATACGTATATTACTCTTCCGGTATCACAGCTTACTACAAAAAGAAACCCATCGGCTGCTTCTAGAATAAGGTGCTTTAATTCCTGGTCCGTTAGGAATGAAGGCTTGTAGGTACCATCAGTACTCGTATTACCAGTGCCTGAAACAAACAAACAACAAATTGGTTTTCCCTCTTAATAATTAAAATACACTAGTGTGCAAAAAACTCACTTCGATCATGTGAATATTGTGAATCACTATTAGTAGACGCTGACTAGAAAATTTTACCTTAATCGCATCATACTCAAGTCGTCAGAGACGAAAATGCCACTGAACCTCTAAAAATCATACGAACGAGCTGAATTGGGAACACGGGAAGCTTTGTTTGGTCTGAGTGTGTTAATGCAAAGATGTTTGGATGTAAACCAAGACCTCTACGTAGGTTTCATAGATTTTGAGAAGGCCTTCGAAGTCAGACACCAAAAGCTGTATGATATCCTAAGAAGCAAAAACATCGACAGTCGCGACATTAAAATCATATCCAGGTTGTACTGGAGACAAACAGCAAAAATCAAAGTTGATAATGAGTTAACCGAAGAAATTGAGATTCGTCGAGGTATGCGTCAGGGTTGTGTGCTTTCTCCACTATTATTCAATATATATATATATATATATATATATATATATATATATATAATATATATATAATATATATATATATATATATATAGCGAAACAATATGTCAGGAAGCGCTCCTAGAGCAAAACATTAGTATGAACATTAACGGAGAGTTAATTAACAATATACTTTACGCTGATGACACGTTAATAGTAACAGATAACCTAGCAAATTTACAGTTTTTGATGGAAAACATAAACACCCATACCAATAAGTATGGTCTAAAACCGAACATCAAAAAGACTAAATTCATGATTGTAACAAAGAAGCTATACACCAATGTGAATTTTACCATAAATAATCAGCCAATTGAAAGAGTTATGTCCTACAAATATTTAGGGGTTTGCTCTACTGATACTAATGACCAGACAAGAGAAATCAAGAAGCGAATAGAAATAGTGAGACAATCGTTTGTTCAAATGAAAAAGTTCCTATGCAGCCGTGACATAAATATAAACTTAAGAATGAGAATGTTAAGGTGCTATGTTTTCTCCATTCTGCTGTACGGCATGGAAGTCAGGACACTGAAAAAGATAAACATCAAAAACATTGAGGCATTCGAGATGTGGTGTTACAGGAGAATGTGGAAAATACCATGGACATAAAGAGTAACAAATCAAGATGTTCTGCTGAAGATGGGGAAGGAATGCGATGTCATAAAAAACATACAAACGAAAAAACTGGAATATCTGGGCCACATAATGAGAGGAGAAAAGTACTCTCTGCTTAGACTCATAATCCAAGGAAAAATGATATATCACAAACTGGACATAGACGTTAATGATACACAATTTGGTTTTTGCAAAGGCCTAGGAACGCGTGAAGCTCTTTTTTCACTTAATACTGGTACAAAGATGCCTGGACGTCAATAAAGTACGACATAAACAATTAATGAATGTCCTGAAATCAAAGAAGATTGACTACATCGATCTCAGGATCATATAAATTTATACTATAAACAGCGAGCAAAAGTACGTATTAACGAACAGCTGTCAGAAGAAATTGAAATTAGATGTGGAGTGAGACAGAGATGCGTATTTTCGCCAATTCTTTTTAATGCCTATTCCGAAGAGATGCTGAAAAACGGTCTTGAGGGTGAAACAGCTGGAATAAAGGTAAATGTTCCCAGCTTAGGTTGCAACTAGCGTTGATTTGTTTGCAGGTAGATCCGCAGTAAATAGCAAGTACAGAGTTGACCCCAGTATGTTTCTTTGTAGTACTCCTGCAGAGATAGGAAAAATGAATCTGTTCCACGGTGCCATGTTTTTTTCGGAAACCAAATTGATGGCCAGGTACAATTTTCTTTTATTGCTTTTTTTATCAGTTGCTTAAGTATAACTTTCTCTAGTAGTTTTGACAGATTTGGCAACAGACTTATTGGATTATACAAGTTTAGTTCTTCTTATTGTTTCGCAGGTTTCACTATTATTCTTATTTGACCAATTTTCCAACGATAAGGGAAGTAATTTAATCTCAATAATACTGCGTTGATTATTTTCTGGAGTGCTTTTATTGCTATAACAGGTAGTTCTTATATAGTTTTACCGGTTGTTAAATCACAACCAGGGCTTTTCTTAGGGTTTATTTCTTTTATTAGACACACAATTTCTGTAATCTTAACATTCCCAAGTGGTAAGTCCATTTGATAATGTGCTTGAATGTAATCAGACATTTATTGATGATGTTTTTGATGATATATTGAAACACTTCAGTGAGATTATCTGCAAATATTTCGGCTTTTTCGGGCTCAGTTCTTGCTCATCTAGGTTTTTGAATAGGTACAATATTGTTGAGGTCTTTTGTGATTTTTTTGTGAATTTTCACAAGAAATAATCAGTGTTTTCTGTAGCTGTCAGTTCGCTCAAGTATTTATTTCATTAATCTTCTTTCGCATTGTGATGTTTTAAGGGGTAAGTTTGTATGAAACCATCGAACATTTTATTAATGTTAAATCAGCAAAATCCCATCACAATTCTTTTACGGAATATATTTAAGTATCAATTCCGATGTTATTTTATAGATGTTTTCTTTTCTGCTTAATAGGCAGTGCTGTGCCAGTTAAAAATGATGCTTCCAAAGCTTGGTTTATAATGATTGGGTTTCACGTAAGAAAACCCTTGTTTATATTAAAGATGTTAATATGTGAAGTCACGTCTATAGGCGTATCAAAATTTCACTACTTCTAGAAATATTTTGTAATAATTTTTTGTTGATAGTTTGATATATTATTATATATTTAAATATTGTATAACGATTTAGGAAATAAATTTTAGTACTACGTGCAAAAGGAAAAATAATAAAAAAAAATATGTTTGTTTTATGTTTTCGTCTTACGTCCATGCGGTCCATGATCTCTTGAGTTATCCATTCTTGTTTTTTGTTGTGTTTTATGAACCCGATATCTTCTTGTATCTTTGTTATTTTTGGTTTTAGAGCAGTCCATGTTACTTCAATGTCTGTCTGTACCAAGTTTTCGATTCTTCCTCAAGCTTGATATTTATTTTTTTTCTGTTCAGGGTTCTTCAGTTGTGAGATATCTATTTTTCTTGTCACTGTTTTCTTTTTGACTTTGACAAATCTTTTTAATCTAAAATCCATTATAACTGGATTGTGATCGCTATGTATATCAGCTCCAGGGTATGTTTTCGTAGATTGGATGTACTTCTTAAAGGTGTTATTGAGCAAAATGAAGTCAATTTGATTTCTAACAATTCTATTTTTCAATATAAGGTTGAATGTTCGAATAAATGAACTTTGATGGTACACAAGGCAAATATCGAACACAGTATTTAATTAAATCTTGCCCAAGTACTTTCGATCACAAGATCATCCTCAGGGGCATTTCGTCAATTGTGGCCTATCCAGCAATAACCGAATGTCATACATGTAAACTGGGACATAACAAATACACTAAAGACAAACAAACACTTTAAAATTTAAATTGGAGAAGCTACATTTTTATATTATAGAAGCCGGAGACAGAATCTATTCTAATCTATTCTAATCTCATTCTGTCTCCGGCTTCTATAATATAAAAATGTAGCTTCTCCAATTTAAATTTTAAAGTGTTTGTTTGTCTTTAGTGTATTTGTTATGTCCCAGTTTACATGTATGACATTCGGTTATTGCTGGATAGGCCACAATTGACGAAATGCCCCTGAGGATGATCTTGTGATCGAAAGTACTTGGGCAAGATTTAATTAAATACTGTGTTCGATATTTGTCTTGTGTACCATCAAAGTTAATTCTATTTTTTCTGTCTGCAGGTGATTTCCATGTGTATAGCCTTCTAGAATGTTGTTTGAAGAAAGTATTGGCTATTACCAGATTGTTTTCTACGCAGAATTGTACAAGTCTATCTCCTCTATTATTCCTGGTACCTAGATCGTATGTGGTCTCCTTCAGCACCACGACCAATTTTAGCGTTAAAGACCCATGATCATCGTTATCTCACCTCTTTGTGTCAGTCGCATTATTTTATCTATGTTGTTATAAAATTTTTCGATTTCCTCGTCTGACTTGTCACGTTTTGGAGCATAGACCTGAATAATATTTAGTTTTCTGTAATTTTTTCATTCCCACTCATATATTAGGGAACTGTCAAACTGTTTTTATTTATGGAATACAGCTGTACAGCAGAGTAAAGACGAGGGACCTGAAATACCAAAGTCAGAAGTTATGCATGCAGTAAAGTCCATGACAAATAATAAAGCTGCTGGTCCAGATGAATTATCAAGTAAATTGCTAAAACTGGTCAATGAAAAAAACATAGATCCTTTAGTCCAACTACTAAACACATTCTATTACTACTATTACTAATACACAGTTAAGCACTGAATACTCTGTAATCAAATTTGTATTTTCAATGCAGGTTTTTTTTTATTAATTTGACTTCCCAGTACTTCTTGCCTTATCGATTTTATCTATCTTTTTACGTATCGGTATTCCTCACCTGTCGTTAATTTTTAATTAACGAGTTCATTTTTACAAAATCCTTTTTTTGCTTAGACTGTACTTGTAACGCCACTGAGTAGTATGTATAATATTTCAAGTCAGAGTTTATGGTTCCCGTACACTTTAACAAAGTTGCAAATTACTAAAACATTGTTATCGGTATCGGTTAATGATTCATTTTATGAACTCAGTGTACTAGACGTGAAAATACAAGAAAGTAAGTGAATTTGTAATTGTTAGGATTTCCGAGCGTAAAAATATAAATTGAAAATTGAAGAAAATATAAATGATAAATTGGTATAAGGTTGAATGCTCGAATAAATAATGAACTTTGATAAAATGACAGGCAGAAATAAGCACTGTTTTATTAATTAAATCTTGCACAAGTACTTTCGCTTCCTAGAGCATCTTCAAATTTCTTCAAATTTTGGGCTATCCAATAATTGCCGAATGTCATAGACTTAAAATTAAACATACAATTGAACATAATACTACACTAAACAAGAACAAACAGTATAAAATTATTTAAAAAATAGTAGAAGCATTCATGGTCGGTAACAGGAGAAAACACCTGTAATTGTCCAGGCCTCAACTCCATACAACAGGACAGAGAACAAGTAGCATCTCAATACTCTAGTTCTAATTTTATTGTTGAGTTTTCCATTGCATAATATTGATTTCATGTTATTAAAAGCACTTCTAGCTATCTCAATACG